ATATTATGGTACATACTCAAATCTGGATTTGTCCTTAGTATCGAAAGAATTAGCACGTAATACAGAGTGGAAAGTACTATCCAATAATTTTGGCAGTGATCATAATCTGGTTTGCTTAAATTTTAAACATGTGTACAATAGACCAGGGGGTGAGAATAATGGACAGAGATGGTCTTTTAGAAAGGTTAATTGGGAAGAGTATAGAGAAGAAATTAAAGAGGCATTGAGAAAAGAAGGATATGAAAATCTTGGTGCAGAACTAAACATTCAAGGCAGATACAATGTGATTGTTAAGGTGATCAAGGAAACGTCGAACAAGTGCATTCCGCGTGTGCAGATTGCCAAGAGAAGAAAAGTAAATCCCTGGTGGAACAATGCCTGCAAGAAGGCGGTGCAAGAGAGAAATCGTCTTAAAAACAGGTTAAGAAGGTATTATGATCTAAATGATGTTAAGAAATACTTAAAGAAGAAAGCTGTCGCTCAGAAGGTAATCAGGAGAGCTCAATATGATTATTGGTTAGAGTACTGCCGTAGAATGAATAGATTTACAGACATTGGGAAAGTCTGGGAACAGGTTAAAAGAATGCGGGACAGTACAATGAACAAGCACATCTTTCACAATCTATTTGTAGACGGAAATATCTTGAAAGAATCTGAGGAAAAAGCAAATGCAATGGCAACCTATTTTAAATCGGTTGATGAATCACTTTCCGTAACTAAAAATGAAAACGAAAATATCTTGTACAATAATTCTTCAACAAATGATGATGATTGTATCAATGATGACTTTAACATGAGTGAAATGGGGAATGTTTTAAAGGAGATGAAAAACTCCTCATCCGGTAAGGATGATATTTATTTAATTATGATTAAGAATTTGCCGAACAAGGCACTCGTGTATTTATTAAACTTGTATAATGACATTTGGAAAATCTCACTTTTTCCACATCAGTGGTATGAGGTTATTCAAATACCAATCTTGAAATCCGGAAAAGATCCGACTCAAGTGACCTCTTATAGGCCGATTTCGTTGATATCAACATTCTCTAAAATTATGGAAAAAATGATAAAAAATCGCCTGACGTGGTTTCTAGAAAAAAACAGACTATTAAATCCTATTCAATCTGGCTTCCGCAAATATAGGAATGTCAAAGATCACTTAGTGAGATTGGAGACGGACATACATATATCCTTGAAAAGTAAAAAATATACCGTAGCGGTCTTTCTTGATTTAGAAAAAGCATATGATTCGCTATGGAAAACAGGTCTACTAAGAAAATTATCTATCTTAGGCATTGGTGGAAAAATGTTACTTTTTATAAAAGCATTTCTATTGAGTAGGATTTCTAATGTGAGGATAAATAACTATATGTCTCGCCACTACACGTTAGAAAATGGAATCCCGCAAGGAAGTTCATTAAGTCCTTTATTATTTACTTTAATGTTAAATGATCTCAAGATAAATGTAAGTGATGTTAAATTATCTTGCTATGCTGATGACATTGCAATCTGGTGTTCAAATAAGGATTTAGAGCTGGCCCGCAGGAAATTACAAGAGGCCCTGCATGAGCTTGAGATATGGTGTTGGACGTGGAAGTTAAACGTTTCCCCTACCAAATCTGCAGTATTAGTCTTTACCAACAAACAAAAGAAAGATATTCTTCTACAAATAAAAGGACATAATCTGCCTATATGCGAGCAGTATAAGTTCCTTGGTGTGAGGTTTGACTCCCAATTAACTTGGTCTGTCCATATAGATTCTATCATTGATAAATGTAAGAAAAGAATAAACTTGCTACGTTGTGTCTCCGGCACCCCCTGGGGAAGTAAGTATGAGATTTTGATGATGATTTATAAAGGACTTATCCTATCCATTTTGGACTATGGGAGTGAAATGTATGATTCTGCTTGTATATCTTTAACAAAAAAACTTGACTCTATCCAATACAGAGCCTTAAAAATTATTACAGGCACAATACACAATGTGTCCTTGGAGGCTTTACAAGTTTTGACCGGGGAGCTGCCTCTGAGATATCGTAGAAGGTTGTTAAATGATAACTTTCGAGTTTATTTACTGTCTAGTACTTTAAACCACCCAACAAAAGAAGTATTGGGTGATGACTATGATTTAAATAACTTAGAATGGAAGATAGGAGAAGGACCTTTTAAACTGCGATCCTTTAGAGACGAAGTAGTGGTGGAAGGGCAAACCAACTTATTGCCGAAAATCCCAGAATGGCGGTTAGCACGACCACAAGTGTCTTTCGAACACCATGGCAAAGTGCAAAAAAAGGAAATGCCTCCATTTGAAATAAAATCGATTGCTCTAGATAGCATTGGAAATTCATGGAATGGGTTTTTACATATATATACAGATGGTTCTAAACTCGAGGATGGAAAGACAGGAGCCGCATTTTATGTGTCTCATTATAATGTGGTGAAATTTTTTAGATTATCCCATGTCTGTATTATGAGAGCAGAACTAGTGGCCATACTAATGGCACTAGAGTGGATTAATACATTTATTGAATCCTCTTCGGTGGTAATTTTTAGCGACGCTTTGTCAGCTTTACAAATGATCGATTCATACTTTATTAGATGTGCTATTGTAAATGAAATTTTATCCATAATTAATATTTTGCAGTTTAAGGATGTTTGTGTTGCTTTTGAATGGATTCCGTCACATTGCGATATTAGGGGCAATGAGATCGTAGATCGGGCTGCCAAAAAAGGAGCCATGAAAAGGTGTATAGACATAGTTATACCAAATACAAGAAGTGAATTGGCAGCCTCTCGTTTGATCCATTATAACAAATTATGGCAAGCAGAATGGGACAATGCAGAACACGGTAGATTTTTATATGCTTTGCATAGCGACGTTTCAAAGCCCATACATAGACAAGGCCTATCTCGCAGAGAAGAATGCTTGATACAACAACTAAGAGTAGGTAACTGTAGTTTAAATTATTACCTTTTTCAAATTAACCAACACGATACTGGTCTTTGTGAAGTTTGTCAAGAAGATGAAACAATTAAACATTTTATTTTCTATTGTACAAAATACGACAAAGATAGATGTCTCTTAAAAGAAAGGATTAAATTGAACAACCCCAATCTGAAACAATTATTGATGTCTAACCCAATTTTTACTCGTGAATTATTGGGTTACATATACGATACTAATCGTTTTAGATAGCTTTTAAAGCTATCAGGGATCCCCTTAACTTATGTCGATCCTGTAATAATATATAAAATGAAGTATTTGCGGTTTTTCCATGAACAATTGCAACTAACTCCCATCTCGCCTTTTATGTGCATTTTATGCAATTTTAATATTGCATTTTTTTTTTTTTTTTTTTTTTTTTTTTTTAACCATATCACTATTAATTTCATTTCACCAAGGAAAGTCGCTCGTGGGCTTGATTTCCGAATCCCACGCCAAAGCTATACACGAAATTGACTGGCGCAAATAATCTTTGAGATTGAAGAGCGCCATCTAAACGAAGAACCAACCAACCAACCAACATGAGCTAGCCCATCAAAACGGTACATTTAGTCGCGCTCGATCCGGGTTGGCCAAACTGTCCTATAGTCAACAACATTAGAAAGGATTGTTGTCGAGCGCCCTCTTACTATGTCCCAGGCTTTATAAAAATTAGGCTACGATTATAATTCAGATAAGAAGAGACATGCGACCAGACACCAGAAAACCACGAAAATATCACATGGTCTTATTCCAAGCTAGAGGTCATTTTTATTTACTGGTCAGCATGACTTTCAGTATTTAGCTCTTCCTGAAACAGTATACTTTGTGTATATAGTTTCATAATTGTGAGTGCTTCTCACTGCATTAAAGCGATTGGGTAACTTTGTCTCAGATTCCGAAACAAAATCACGCAGATAGATAGAGAGAGAGAGAGAGGAAGAAAGCGAGAGAAAGTGCATGTGATAGACAGATATGATTTCCAACAAGATATTATCATAGAGGCAGTGCAAATATCATGGAATAGATTACAGTTTCTATCGCTCAAGACCGCTATATTGAAGGTAATGAATTCGAAAACTTGGAGTGCATTAGGGGGTTCCTGCCCCCGGCCTAGACTCCCGGCAAGGGGCTCTGTCTCTGTGACCCAAGGGGGACCGTAAAGCGTTCCCATGGACCTCATCCGTAAAGATAGAAGTAGTTCCCAATACAAAACTGTATTGTTTAAACAAATCAACTCACCCACTCTTTCGCAAAACTATGGATTTATTTTTTTGCTCTCGTGCTCGATCATTCATTTGATTTTCTTTCTCTTATTCACATCTACTAATTCAACTAACTCACCAACTTTTTTCCCTCTCTCTCTCTCTCACCCACTCACTCACAATTAATACCCATCCCCCATTCTCTCTCTGTTCCATCGACGCACACACTCAACCCATGTCTTCATTCACCCGTTCCTGCCAGCATATTGTTCACGGCGCATGCGTACACCTTCCCCGCCCATGTGGGCTGCCCAGAAAGAGTATTAATTCCAATCTCGCATACACATTGCCACACAAACACGCCCACATGCACAAGGAAACACACATACACACGGACACACACACACTTTTTATTTCTGTAGTTTTGTTTTATTCTTCCCAATGTGTAACACAAACAAGAACATACTTTGAATTTTAAAAAAAGTTTTCAATATCCATTACTTATACAGTTTTGAGATAGGAAAAGGTGCAAGACAGGGCTGTATCCTATCACCATACCTCTTTGTCACATACACAGAAAGTGGGATGAGGGAAGCAGATGTTGCGCACTATGGCATTAAATTTGGTGGCAAAAACATCTCGAATCTCAGATATGCCGACGACACAGCACTTATCGAATCTTCTAAAGATGGAATCGAATGTCTCACTCATGCAGTAAATGATGCCGGAAAGAAACTCAACTTGCATTTAAATGTCAAAAAGACTAAATCCTAATTGCTGGGAAAACCTCAGATACTGATTGTAACATCCAGATCGACGGGGAAACAGTCAAGGATGTGGAAAGCTTCAAATACCTCGGATCCACAAAGAACAGCGATGCCAGCTGTACCAATGACATAAAGATAAGAATAGCCATAGCAAAGAAGAGAATGGTTGACCTGCATGTACTTTGGAATGACAGGAACATCTCAACCGGTCTGAAAATAAAACTGGTCAAAACCCTGGTTTGGAGTGCTTTGCTTAATGGTTAAATTCCCTCTGAGGTTCAAGTATCTGGGTTCACTCGTATGTTATATTAGCGAGGGATGCTTGTATCAAAGCGGAACGAAGTATTAACCAAATATGGACATGCTTACACTTCAAATATTTTTCCATTGTAATTTTACTCTAAAGATTCTATTCGACAAATATGTTTTTGAGCTTCTAATCACCCACGCTCCTCCGGTTACAATAATAGATTGCAGAATGATTTTTCTTTTGGTGTAGAATCTACCAGCGCGAACATCATTACAAATGAGTTCAATCAAGGTACGTTTCCTGTCAGAAATTTCCTTTCATGTGTGTTTTTCCTTCTCCTGATACCCGTACCACCCAGCCGTATGTAATATCTTATTCACCTACGATACTGTGACATGATAAAAAAGGGTTCCAGTCCGTATATCATGCTATGACTACAAACGGGGATCGAACATTGATTTGTGTGGTTTCCAGGCAAAGTCACTTTGTTGTCTCTCTCCCTCTTTCTCTCTTTGTCTGAAGAAATCCAGGGTCCACGAGTCAACCTATACCGTTTACATGATTTAAACTAAGAAAAAGAAGAAAAATAAGACACTAAACACAACATCAGTTTCATAACACAATGTTTTTAAATTGGAGAAAAAACATTAATTAGGCAGTGATCAAGGTACCTTGCCGTCAAATGTAGGGTGATGATGCTGTATTTAACTTAACACACATACCCCCCTTCCTACATGATCAAATAATGACATAATCGTTTAGAGGCTATACTAATTTTAAAGAATATTAAAATGATCCCTCTTACATGTCAACATGGTTAATCTTACCATGTCCTTCATAGCAATGATCTACTTTAAGCATAATATTTAGTTGATTAACCCTCCCCATACAAGTCAAGAAAAGAATTGCCCATCAGAATGCCAAAGGAAGACTGAACTCGCTGATTGTTTGCTTGGTGTGTTTGGGGACAGCAAATATAACTAACTTCCCGTATAAACAGCACACGCACCCACCCATACATTCTACTTGTTCCTTTCCGTATTTTTCATTTTTATTGGAATTCAATATTAGAACAGTACTAATAATTCCTCTAAATATTATTCTTTTTTATCATAGTGACATAATTTCATTAAGTTACTACATGTACAATTCACAAATGACGATCAAAAATAAAAAAATAAGTTATATTATAAAACAAATTATAACCCCTTCCCTTATTACCCAAACCAATACAAGACCCGACCTAACACATGCAAAAGAACACACACACACACACACGCGCACACACACACACACACACACACAAACCTTTAACAAGATTTCAGATATATATGAAACACAATGTAATTCATGAACTAGGTGACAACCCTGACACGTAAATACAAACTACACTCATGCATTTAGCTATGGTATGGTATACTCGAACCTAAGAAGGAATTTAACCGTTAAGCTGATGTTAAATAGACTGGGAAAACCTGCATTTTACATAAACATTTTGTTTGGTGGCGTTCTACATTTAGTAAAAGTATACCAGAACTAGAGAAAGTATACATAATATCATGTAAATGTTGCAAGACACAGGGATCCGTATTTCAACTCTTTACTTGTTGACACTTGAAATGGTCACATTAGATTCCTACGTCCCCGATAAAAAACTATGCCCTGATGAAAAGATACATTTAAGATATCTGCTACAGGTTGACTTAATTCATATGCAAATTCACGAATGATACGAGGTGGAACATCTTCTTTCAATCCTGCTTTGTTACTTTTTATCTTTTTAAGCATGTTGTAAACCTCATATTGCTGTGCATAAAGTGTGCGTGAAGGGGAATGCATTGCTGTGGAGGGTGCGTGTGTGTGTGTTTATGTTTTTGCATGTGTTGAGTGGTGTTTTGTTATGGTTTGGGTAGTTAGGGAAGGGGTTATAATTTGTTCCATAATATTACTGAATTTGTTTTCTTTCGATCGTCATTTGATAATTGTATATGTACTAAATTAATCGAATTATGTTATGATAAATAAGAACAATATTTTGAAGAATTACTAGTACAGTTCTACTATTGAGTTTAAATAAAAATGACATTTACGGACAGCAGAGAGGAGAATATATAGGTGGTCGCGTGCGTAGTTTATACGAGAAATTTGTTATGTTTGCTGTTCCAAACACACCAAGCAAACAATCAGCGAATTCAGTCGTCCTTTGGCATACTCGTGGGCAATTATTTTCTTGACATGTATGGGGAGGGTAAGTCAACTAAATATAGTGCATACAGAAGATCTTTGCTATGAACGACATGGTAAGATTGACCATGTTGACGTGTAAGAGGGATTATTGTAATATTTTTCAAAATTACTCTAGTCACTAAACGAGTTTGTCATTTTTTGATAATGTAGGAAGGAGGCCCTATTTGTTAACCCTAATAAGGCCAGGGAGCCATTATGCCCCCACCCCCCTCCACGATTTTTGTTGATTGTTCGGGAACGGATATGGACGGTGCCCCGCCGCTCGCTCACTTTTTTTATTTCGAGTCTTGCGCATCTTTTAAAACAATTTTTTTCTGATCGGACCTACAATTACAAGGTCACGTGACCTTTCATCTTTGCATGTCAGCCCGAAAATCGCTCATTTTCGTAATTTGTGTACACAACATATAAAAATGTCATTTTCCTAAAAAATAGATTGGTAATTAGGTCTTGTTAAAAGTTTAGGTGGTTGTTTTGGGAGTCAAAATAGTTGAAAAGTTAAAAAACAATGAAATACATAAGGAATTATAAAAACAATAAGTTGGCTCTTCCAAATATGTTGTCGTATTATTATTCCAAAATGGTATAATGAATATATGTATTGAAAAGGAATGCTCAAATATGAATAATATATGATTTATGGGTAGAGTTGTGATTTGTGTCAGACCTTTTTTGCATAAATTACCATAAATATGCAAATGAGTGAATTTTTCAAAAAATTGAAGTCATCATAGTATTCTATACACGTCACTTGACATGCGTGCACATTTTCGCGGAGATCGGCCGTTTCAAGGCCGAGATCTTAAGGGGGGCCATAATGCCATAATGCCATAAGGGGGGGGCATAATGCCCCCCCCCCCATATTGCTCCGGTTGTCTCATTTTCGCCAGCACAAACGTAGCTAGTTCGCCGTCACTACCAAGCTAGAATGTTCCACTATGTTGCAGGGTGTATATGCCATTCGGTATGATGTGTGAACCGGGTGTGCGAAAATGGTGTGTTGAGGAGGGGAAGTGACAGTGCTCATGTGTGTGGTAATTGTATGTGTGTCAACACTTAAAGACCAATACATGTCAGATGGCTAATCATAAATCTACAATAACGAGTAAACTGTGTACATCACAGTCCACAGATAAATATGTGCCTTGAACGTATAGCAGACGGCAATCGGCGGAGCAGACGACACTTGATAGGGATTTTGTAAGTGAGATTGCTTTGCTAAATATAAAATACAAGAACCTTTTCCATATCTTTAAACTATCATTGATATCTGATAATTAAACATTTAGTAAAATAAACTTACCAAACTACATAATACAATGAAATACTTGACTGAAAGTAGGGCAGTTTGATATGGTGCACAATTGCACCCCTCTGTAAATAATCGAATAGTCCATGGTGTGTCATGAATATTCATGTTTTTGCTTACCTCGGCAAAAATTTTGCCTATACTAAATGGAAAAATTTCGGTGGGGGGTTGGTTGAAGTGGACATAATGAACCAAGCAGAACTGATCTATGATAATTCATGGTTGTTATCCTTTGTGTGCTTGACCTATAATCTTACAATCGCGTGGTAAATTGCGTCCAAAGTTCGACTTGTTACACATGCGTTATATATGCAATGGCGAACTTGCGACCTATTTTGATCAAATTACGGTGGGTGAACTTTCAAAAGTCAATGGGACATGAGGGTTCCAATGAAAGAGCTAGTGTCAACGTACGTCGGGGTGGATGTGATTTTCGTTTAAACAAAAATGAATTTGTAACGATTTGTTTTGTAAAAGTCCATATGCTTATACACGGTTAGGCTGCTGGACTCTGACGATAGGGGGCGTTGTCAAATGAGACTAATCGGAGCTATATGCCCCAGCCGTAATAAGACCTCAAATAAACCGGCCTTTTTAGGGTTAAGTTGAAGAAAAAATCATCACCCTTCATTTGACGGTTCTAAAAGTAACCTTGATCACAGCCTTACTAATGTTTTGTCTCTAAAATTAAAATATTGTGTTATGAATATGATGTTGTGTTGTTGTTTTTTTGTTCTTCTTCTTCTTAGTTTATATCATGTAAACGGAATGGGTTTATTCATGGACCCTGGATTTCTTCAGACAAAGAGAGCAAAAAGGAGAAAGACAACAGAGTGACTTTGCCTGAAAACCACACAAATCGATGTTTGATCCCCATTTTTAGTCATACCATGATATACGGACTGGAACCCCTTTTTTTATCATGTCACAGTATCGTAGGTGAGTAAGATATTACTGGGCTTGTAACACGGTTAACAGAAGAAGGAAAAACACACATGAACGGAAATTTCTGAAAGGAAACGTACCTTGATTAAACTCATTTGTAATGATGTTCGCGTTGCTAGATTTTACACCAAAAGAAAAAAAAATCATTTTGCAATCTCTCATTGTAACCGGAGCAGCGTGGGTGCTTAGAAGCTCAAAAACATATTTGACGAACAGACTCTTTAAAGTAAAATTACAATGGAAAACAATTTGAAGATAAAGCATGTCCATATTTGGGTATGACTTCGATCCGCTTTGATACAAGCATCCCTCGCTAATATAATATACAAGTGAACCCAGATACTTGAACCTCAGAGGGAATTTAACCATTAGACCTAAACAAAAACTTGTTGTTTTGCCCTTTAAGTGCCAAAACATGGGTCGGTCTGTCGGATTTAATTTTTTTTTAAATTTTTTTTTTGTCGTCCTCTTCGGGCCGATATTTTTCAGTTTTGAATGTTTTTTCCGCCCTCT